TTAGTTTCAGGTAGCTTGTCTGTCAACATCAGCTGTCCCAAGGAATAGCTACTTTGAATAGGAATATTGTAAAGAATAGGGTTGAGAACAAAACTGTTCAGCTAGAAACTGCATAAATTACCTTTTTTGTAACAGCATGAAAAGCTTCTTCAAGAGTTTTGTCTTTTGGTTGTCAGTTGGAAGCTGGTAAGCAGTTTGATATTCTCAGTTGTGCCTTGCAGAAGTTAGCATCTACCATGGTGTGTCCCTGCTCTGTGTAAGGCCACCAACTTTCTGCTGAGCAGAGGCCCTTTGGCTACTGGGCTGAGGCTGGTGTCAGCCACAGGAACTGGTGGAACTTTTTTCCTCTTCTTGGCCTTTCTAGGCATTGGAAAAGTCAAACAGAAGCTCTGACAGAACATTTGGCAGCTTTATCATCATTCTGAGACTGAGGTGTTAAATATTTAGGGAGTCAAAAGCATTCTACAAATGTGCTCATTGTGGTCTTCCAGGTGTGTCTCCTAAGATAAGCAGGTGTATTTCAGTTCTAAATATCTTGGCTCTGCATTCTTGCTTAGTTAAAAGACTGGTTTTTGTAAGGGGTTGGTTTAGGGGAAGTTGGAGTTGGTTTTTATTATTCTTCAGTAAATTAGGTCTGGAGTGGAAAACTAAAATCTTCCATGCAGTCTGAACACTGTGAGTCTAAAAAATTATAAAGATGGCATTAAGTCCTTTAAAATATTGACATTAGGGCTAATGCTGCTTTTCAGCAATAGAGTAGGAAAGTAAAAGCCAGAGTAAATGAGCCATTACTTCAGTAAAATAACAAGACTGATATAATAAAAAGATCAGTGTTAATAAATGTAGTCTAGGAACCAAATTTAAGTTATCTGTCAGATGTGCAAGATTTTGGACTGGAGAGAAGTGGATAATGACCTATCTAGTTCTAGAAACAGTAATATGTTTATATTCAGGATTGTATGACATGGTTGACTGCAGTAATACAACTGGGCTCAGTGAGCTGCAGAAGCTTTAGACCAGTAGATTTAACAACAGAAATAGATGGGTTTTTTGTCTCAATGGGGATTTTTTAATGTATCTGAATTCAGATGGTGCCTGATCAGTTATATATAGTGATAAGAAGCCAGAAGAATACATTTTTATTTTTTTTCCAGATATTAAGGGGTTATTCATACTTAGTCCAGAGCACCTCAAAAAAGAAGTTTGCCTTGGAGTGGGCTGCAGTTGTGTAATCATTCAGATTTCAGACTATGTAGTGGATCTACCATATTTTTCACATCAAACCAAGTACATAAAATTCTCAGGTATACATGAGATTAGCAGCTCACTATTTGAGTTAGCTAGTTAGATAACTATTTGATCTAACTGGCATGATAATCCTGATGTTATGCTTACATAAGCTTCTCCAAGTCTAATTAGCTGGCAATCCATGAGAGACGTCACTGAGTAGGTCTGTGTCCCAAGTGCTGATAACTACATCCACCCCGAACTGCATTGCCTTCGAGGAAATCAGAGGTCTTTTTATAACCTATATCAATTTGCTTTATACACCTTGCTGGCAGAATCTTGCCTGTTTAAGACTGTGGTGATGGATCTGCCTAAGTCCACTTGTAACTACATCCTCCCATGTTAATTAGGCAGTTGGACACCAGACACGCCTGGATAAAGGTACAGTGCTCAGAGGCGCTTACAAGACCGCAGCTATTCATGTTCTCTGGGCTAAAACACGTAGTGTTGAGGGAGAAGTTTGATTCAGGAACAGAGTTACATCTTTTGCAACTACCTTTTTGTCTTTGTCAGACAGCTCTTATCAAAGCCGCAGCTAACTGCTGCTGTAGCAACAAACGAAACATCGCTCTCCTCTTGTAACGAGTCTTTCAAGACCGGTCTTTAAGGGCAAAGGAAGGGCTGTGGTGCAGGTACGCGGTTCATTTCCGAGGCCGCGGCGCTGCGCCGGCTGCGAGCTCCAGCCCCGCCGCGCTCCG